ATCTATCTATCTATCTATCTATCTATCTACCTTTAAACCACCACGACGTAACTATTCCATCCACATAACGTATATATATATATTTATTTGCCAACACGTAAACAAACACAAACGGCATATGTTTCATTATCGTTGTATGATATGTGAGCTAAAATTAGGGCACTTTTGTTAGAATTTTAGAGTTGGGATTTTGTTTAGGGGGATTTTGGGGGGATTTAGGGGGGATTTAGGGGTGATTTTGGGGGGATTTTGGGGGTGATTTGGTGTTGGGATATTATTTGGATTTTAATTTAGGATTTGGGGATTTTATTTTGAGATTTCGAGGGATTTTTATATTGTTAATTTTATTGGTACAGTATTAATGGATTTTATTTTGAGATATTATTAGGGTTTTATATAATACTATTGCAAAAAAATTAACATCAGCAACGTAAAAAAAAAGTGACAAAACGTTGCAAATAACATCTTCCGTCATTACCACGAAGCCAATATGTTTCAAAAAAACCAACATAACAACAATGCAACAATCCTCCCCAAAATGTTGCAAAAATTCCTTCTTCATCAGCAACACCATCTTAAGACGTTGCAAAAATCAACATCATTGTCTCGTGTCGTAACTTGGAACGCACACATAATTTACTGAGGAGAGCCAGGCTGGTTGTAGTTCACGCCTCGCTCTTTTAACACGATACGACATGACACGACACGACATGACACGATACGACACACGATACGACATGACACGATACGACATGACACGATACGACATGACACTATACGACACACGATACGACATGACACGACACGACATGACACTATACGACACACGATACGACATGACACTATACGACACACGATACGACATGACACGATACGACATGACACGATACGACATGACACTTAAAGACACAAGATTAAATACAATGAGTTATTATCGTTATTATTACAATCACAACTAAAACAAAACAACAATAACTAGAGTAACCACAACCACCACAACCACAACCACCACCACAACCACTACTACCACCACCACAACCACTACTACTACCACCACCACAACAACAACAACCACTCCCCTCAACAAATTAGTTACAATAAACAGATCAACTAAATAATTGCAACATACCGTAACAACATTAACACAACGGGGTAAAAAAAAAATAACTTAATGTAATTTTTTAGTTAATTTACCAGACAAACTTTACTGAGTCCAAAAAAAAAGATAAAATTGTGGGAGGGAGGAATGGGAGAAGGACGGGGAAGAAGAGAAAATAAAAGAGAGGAAGAGAAAGTGAGAGAAAGGGAGATGAAGTGAGAGAAAGGGAGATAAATTAATAAAAAGTGAACGAAAGGGAGATAAAGTAAGAGAAAGGAAGAAAAAGGGGGAAATGGAGATAGAGTGAGAGAAAGGAAGAGAAAGTGAGAGAAAGGAGGCAGGGAAAGGACCAATAACCTCGTCAACAATAGTCAACACAGAGACAGCGGTGATAAAAATTACGCCATCTCACCTGAGTAATTACCTGTGACATTAGCTGCAGGGAGGGAGGGAGTGGGGGGAACGGGGGAGTAGCGGGGAGAGAGAGAGAGAGAGAGAGAGAGAGAGAGAGAGAGAGAGAGAGAGAGAGAGAGAGAGAGAGAGAGAGAGAGAGAGAGAGAGAATCAACAAGTGAGAGTTTAAGTGAAAGTTAACAAAAAACAATTGGCAGAGTGCGTGAGAGGAAAGGGAGAGTGGAAGGGGGAGAGAGGCCACACTCACACAGGGGAAAGTACCAAGGGAAAGTAACAGGAAACAAGGTAACTACAAGGAGAAAATTATAGTACCAGGAAAGTCTCACATACTTTCTAAACAGAGAAAGTATTTCCTTGAACCAGTGTTATTTATGTTGGTTTTATGATGTTGCTGAGAATCCCCAAGAGGAAAGGCTAAGGGAGAGGGGAGAGTGAGGAGGGGGGGGCCGAGAAAGGAAATTTAGAGTGAAGGGAAAGTTGAGAAATTATATATATGAATGAGAGAGAGAGAGAGAGAGAGAGAGAGAGAGAGAGAGAGAGAGAGAGAGAGAGAGAGAGAGAGAGAGAGAGAGAGAGAGAGAGAGAGAGAGAGAGAGAGAGAGAGAGAGAGAGAGAGAGAGAGAGAGAGAGAGAGAGAGAGAGAGAGAGAGAATAAACAGATAATGACAGATAGAAACATTTACTCAGTTAAATATAAATTCCCATAATCAGGACTTCCTAGGAATTGCTTCTCACCTCCTCTCTTTCAGTCTCTCTCTTACACACACCCACACACGCCCACCCCCCCCCACACACACACGCCCACACACACACACAGTTTTATTACCTTGTCCCTCTGGGGGGTAAACACGGGCTCAGCTGCCAGTGGAGATTTATGACGAGAGAGAGAGAGAGAGAGAGAGAGAGAGAGAGAGAGAGAGAGAGAGAGAGAGAGAGAGAGAGAGAGAGAGAGAGAGAGAGAGAGAGAGAGAGAGAGAGAGAGAGAGAGAGAGAGAGAGAGAGAGAGATTTGCATAATAAAATCGTCACGTCACAGAAAACGGAAGATGGCTAAGAGTCGAGGGGGGGGAAGTAAGAGAAATAAGAAGTAAGGAAGAATAAGAAAGGGGGAGGAAGAAGAAGATATTAGAAAAGGAGGATAAATAAAAGGAAACAGATAAGAGGGGAAACTTAACAATCCACCTCACTTCCCCTCGTCCTTCGTTAAATAAGAGGAAGAGGCAAGGAAGAGAAGGGAAGGGGGGAGAAGAATGAGGGGTAGAGGAATGCAAAGAGGAAAGGAAAAGAAAATGAAAGAGGGGGGAAAACATAACATTCCCCTCTCTTCCCCTCAGTCCTGGGTATTAATTATGGAACAGAAAGGTAGGAAAAGAGAGAGGGGAGAGAGAGAGAAGGAAAGAGAAAGAAAGGAAGACAGACAGATAGACAGACAGACTAAGACACAAGAGTAGAGATGAGAGAAGAGGTAAGGAGGGGAGACTTGAAAATACCCCCAGACCTCACTACTAAATATGGAACAGGGAGGAAGGAAAAGAGGGAAAGGGGAAACAGAAAATATAGATAGAAAATAGAAGATAAGAGGAAAACACAAAGAGAATACGGAAGGGGGGTGAGGCATAACTAAAGAAGAAGAAGAAGAAGAAGAGGAAGAAGAAGGTGAGAAATAACTAAGATTAATAAATAAGAAACAAAGAAGAAGAATAAGAACGAGAACAGGAACATGAAGAACAAGAAGGAGGGAAAAGGAAGACAGAAATGGAAGATAAACAGATAATAAAGGAATCAGGAGGAGGGAGGGGAAGAGGATAAAGAAAACGGAAGGAGGGGAGACATAAATATACCTCACTACCAGGTTAATAAATTAGGAACCATAAACTTTCATTGCTACTTGGATCATTTACGACTCAACAGTAAACCGTGAGTCAGTGGTGATGGTGGTGAGTCAGTGGTGATGTGGTGAGTCAGTGGTGGTGGTGGTGAGTCAGTGGTGGGGGTGGTGAGTCAGTGGGGGTGGTGAGTCAGTGGTGATGGTGGTGAGTCAGTGGTGGTGGTGGTGAGTCAGTGGTGGGGTGGTGAGTCAGTGGTGGGGGTGGTGAGTCAGTGGTGATGGTGGTGAGTCAGTGGTGGGGGTGGTGAGTCAGTGGTGAGTCAGTGGTGGTGGTGGTGAGTCAGTGGTGATGGTGGTGAGTCAGTGGTGATGGTGATGAGTCAGTGGTGAGTCAGTGGTGGTGGTGGTGAATCAGTGGTGGTGGTGGTGAGTCAGTGGTGAGTCAGTGGTGGTGGTGGTGAGTCAGTGGTGGTGGTGGTGAGTCAGTGGTGATGGTGGTGAGTCAGTGGTGATGGTGGTGAGTCAGTGGTGGGGGTGAGTCAGTGGTGGGGGTGAGTTAGTGGTGTGGAGAGTCAGTTGTGGTGAGTTAGAGGTGATGGTGAGTCAGTATGATGAGTCAGTGTCGTGAGTCAGAAGTAATCACTACATGAGAGGGTTAATGACCTTGTTTGATGGCCGTCTTGATCACTGACGTCTAGGTTAATGTTATAAAGGATAAATTAACTTTATCTTAACATCATCAGGTGTGAGGTTAATGGTATGCAGGTTAATTAACTGTGGTCTGATTAGTTTAATTTAACTTGCATAAATTAACCTAACCTAACCATTAAAAAAGGGCCCATTTCACCCATTTACCTTTAATTAAACATTTAATTTAACATTATCTCTCTGTCTGTCTGTCTGTCTGTCTGTCTGTCTGTCTATCTGTCTGTCTGTCTCTCTGTCTATCTGTCTGTCATGCCCACTCACATACTCCCTCTCTCTTCCTCTCCCAGCAATAATAATAATAATAATAATAATAATAATAATTATAATAATATACTTTCCTTTTATAATAATCTCACTCTTTCTCTCTCTCTCTCTCTCTCTCTCTCTCTCTCTCTCTCTCTCTCTCTGCCCGTCTGTCTGTCTATCCGTCTCTTTTATAATCATTCCACAACGTAAGTGTTCCCAGTTACCACTTTCATTATATAAATCACTTTCAACTTTACACAATTAAAACACTCCATTACGCCTGCCTATATAAATGACTCCCACACGTTATATCATATAGGAGAACTATTTTATATCATTCTATATCATTCTAATTAATTTTAGGTCTAATTGTTTACTATTTTTCACACCTGTAGTTTAATTAAGTAGTGAAAAGGTGTTTTTTTTTTTTGGGGGGCTTTACTATTCTATTGGAGAGAGAGAGAGAGAGAGAGAGAGAGAGAGAGAGAGAGAGAGAGAGAGAGAGAGAGAGAGAGAGAGAGAGAGAGCATAATGCTGAGTTTTATTTAGACAGATAGATATATAGATAAACAGACAAACAAACAAACTAATCACAATTCACAAGACACACACACACACACACACACACACACACACACACACACACACACACACACACACACACACACACACACACACACCATTATCTCTCTCTCTCTCACCTACAGCTACGACGCCAGAGGCAAAGCTGACAACCTTAACACCACCGACACCACCACCACCGTTAGCAGCAACAGCATCGCCAGCCTCAGGAACGCCAGCACGAGCGAAGAGGAGCCTAAGGAGCATCGTTACCTGGAGGCTGGCGGTACATCTCTGGTAATTAGACAGGTGTTGCGAGAGGACCAGGCAGAGTACAGGTGTAGAGTACATTTTCGTCTGTCACCTACCTGGACTCAAAGACTACTGCTGCTTGTACCTGGTGAGTACTGGTGTAGTGGTGATGGTGGTGAGTGGCAGTGGTAGTGGTGGTGTGGTAGTGTGGTGTTGATGATGATGATGATGATGATAATGGTAGATGTGTGGTAGTGGTGGTGATGAGTGGTGATAGTGGTAATGGTGGTGGTGGTGATGATGATGGGGGTGATGATGGTATGGTGACGATGATTGTGGTGGTGATAGTGGTGTATAATAGTGGTGTATGGTGGTAGTGTGGTGTAGTGGTGCATGGTGGTAGTGTGGTGTAGTGGTGTATGGTGGTAGTGTGGTGTAGTGGTGTATGGTGATGGTGTAATGATATAATAGTATTTCATTTCAGCCTTGATATATACATACCCATTATCCTAACCACTCGACCTACCACAACAGAGAAGGTCAAGGGGCTGGTGCTGGAGGACTCGACCGGTCGACCTGTAGGGGATCGACTTCAACCCGTGGCCGAGGGAGCTAACCTTACCCTCACCTGTCAGGCATCTCACGGTCAGTGTTGCTAACCTTACGTGACGAGTAGTAGTAGTAGTAGTAGTAGTAGTAGAAGTGGTGGTAGTGACAATAAAGTAGTAGTACTAGTAGTAGTAGTGGTGGTAGCACTAACCAACCACTCGGCATATTTATTACTTCCAATTATAAAACACATTACGCTAAAACCTACAATTAAAAAAAACAAAAAAAAACACATTACTGAATACCGAAAACGCACCTTCCTGAATACCAAAACCCACATTTACTGAATAGCGAAAACATCACTAACTGAATACCAAAACACAACGTATACTGAACACCGTAAACAGAGGCGCCATTTACTAACACAACAAAAGCAAGAAAATATCCAAAGTCTTATTAAGTAGAGAAGAGAGCCATTAAAAAGATATATAAAGCTCATTAGCCTCCAAAGAACATTTTTGAACACCTGAAATAGTTAAATTAAGCCATAACTCAGGTGTGCTGCGTCTACCGGGTGTGGTGATGATGATGATAATAATAATAATAATAATAATACATAAATCACAATAAAAATAATAACAAAAACAACAATAACAAAACAAATACCAAAATAATAACAACAAGTACTCCAACAACAGCACTACCACCAACAGTATCTCCCCCATACGAGTAAAACCCAATCAACAGAAGCCCATAACGGGAGGCAGTGTACCGTTAGACACACCAGCGTGATTACAGCAACAGGAGATCGAGATTGTAAGAACGATAACTTACCTTAACTAATTTTACCTGTAATCCAATTAGTTGTGTTGTTACCTGAGCGTTTGGCGATAGTGTGAGTGTGTGTTTTGGAGGTGATTAGTTGAGTGTGCTGCGTGTGGGTTGTATTGAGTGCGTTTGAGGTGGTTTTAGTGTATGTATGTATGTATGTATGTATGTATGTATGTATGTATGTATGTATGTATGTATGCAAGTATGTTTGTATGTATGTATGTATGTATGTATGCATATGTATAAACCTACAAAATTAATAACATCACAAAAATTAACAATTATGATACATACAGACAGACAGACAAACAGACAGTATAAACGCCTCTTTTAGCATCTTTACGGGGAATAATAATAATACTAAAGTTAGAAGGGATGGTTGGCAGCTGTTCCCAAACCCTGAGTTAGTGGCCAGTTTAAATGATATATCGAAGGTGTTGTTGATGTATGGTAGTGTGTGACCTAACTTGACCCAACTGACTCTACACACCTGGTACCATACACCTGTGACCAGTCTGGGTAGTTATTACAGGTGTGGGGGCTAGTGAGTATCTGTTTTAATAGATCCCTGAGTTAATGGGTTCCTGTTTTAATTGGTCCCTGTCTAATGGGCCCTATACCCCCAACACACACACATGTCACCCCCTCTCCCCCATAAATTCACCCATACCCACACACCCATCACACCCTCCCTCCCCACACAACCACCTCCACACTCTCCTCCCCACCGTCCACTCTCACCCCCACCACACACCCCAACCACCATTACACCGCCCCGTAATAAGTTTTCTAATCATCAGTATAAGATAGTTTAAGAATTCCATCCAGGTGCCTAATTTTGCCATCAGGGAGGCTAGATTACCTTCTTTGATGACGTGGCTTCTGATAACACCTGTCTAATTATACCTCTGAGTCCAGGTGTGTCATTATTATTATTATCTTTTATCATTATTATCGTCTATACATACATACATACATACATACATACACACACACACACAGATAGATAAATAGATAGATGGATAGACAGACAGACAGACGAATGGACGCACGGACGAACGGACAGTGTCACAATTCTGTTAAACAAGGACAAAGAAGTTTATGAAAGTGGTGGTGAGAGTTGAGAGAAAGTTAGTGAGAGAAAGTTGACAGTGTGAGAGAACTTTCCTCCCAGTGTCAGGTGAGTGGTCGAATAATTCACCTGAGTTACCTGTGTGTGTGTGTGTGTGTGTGTGTGTGTGTGTGTGTGTGTGTTATTACGGATAGCGTGTGAAAGGTGTGAGTTACAGTAAAGTCAGGTCAGGCCACAGTAAGTCAAGTCAAATCTTTAAGCTGTGCCAACACCTCCGCTTTAAACAAGATACTTCCACACACACACACACACACACACACACACACACCAACACATATAAAACACCTCATCATCAAACAATACACCACAAACACCCCAATACCATCAAATAAAACACCACAACACCATTATAAAACACCACAAACACACACACACACACACACTCAAACACCTCCACAAACACCACCACACATAAACCAGCCAATAAAACAGTAAGATGTAGTGTCAACATAAACCTCCAGCCCACGACCACATTTTCTGATACCAAAATACCTGTTTGTTTACATCTGACGCCGAGGCCTGGGAAATAGCACAGGTAGTGGGGGGGGGAGGAGGGGGGGATTTCGCGCGCTTATCTACCTTGAACGTAAATATTTACCTCCCAACACGTGTACTGGTGACGCAGCTGTTCCTCGTCTCTGTGTTTTTCTTTTGAATATTTTTTTGTAATTGTTTTATCATTTTTGTCTTTTTTTGGTATTTCGTTTTGTATTTTTTTCTTATTATTTGTTAATTCTGGTTTTCCCTTCTTCTTCTTCTTCTTATTTTCTCATTGTAACATTTATTCTTGTTCTTCTACGTCTTCCTCTTCCTCCTCTCCTTTTCTCCTCCTCCTCCTCTACTCACCACCACCTCCTTCGTCTCCTCCTACAGGCAAGGCCGCGGTGATCAGCCTAACATGGTTACTAGGAGGCCAAGAGATCGACACCTCGTGGGCGTCAGCGGGTGAGGGCGTGGCCGTCAACCAGCTGAGTATTGTGGGCGTGGAACAGAGACACCGAGACGCCCACCTCACCTGCCGCCTCGTTACAGCAGACCATGAGAGCCACAGTCACACCCACGACAGCGAGGTTCACGCCCACGATAGCGACGTTCAAGCCCATGATAGCGAGGTTCAAGCCCATGATAGCGAGGTTCACGCCCACGATAGCGAGGTTCACGCCCATACTCTCCCCATGCCAGCGAGTATCACCCACCGTTCTGCTGTTATCGCCATGTTCTGTGAGTGTTATGTTATGTTGTTCTTCTTGTTCATTCTTCTGCTATATTATTCGTGTTCATTGTTCCTGTATATTGTTCTTGTTCTTTGTCCAGCCAATGTTCTTGTTCACTATACTGGGTGATGTTAGACTTGAATGACGAACTTAGTGGTATAATAATACGTACACCTCTCTCTCTCTCTCACTCTCACTCTCTCTCTCTCTCTCTCTCTCTCTCACACACACACCATGAGCAGTAAGGCCTCTGAACTCCACTACTCTTACAACACTTCAAACAGTCATCTCTAATACCAACTAGGAGATTGAAAACCTTTGTTAGGGGTGAAGAGAGATTAAGAAATACTTAATGAGTTCCCGAGTACATTAGAGTACATGGGGGAATGAGTGAAAGTTTGTTAGAGTAGTATTTGAGTACTTGGGGGTTCGAGTGAAAGTCTGTAGTTGGGGCTGGGTGAATGTTTGAGTGTGTTTCAGTACTTGGATGGGTGAAAGTTCGTGCTTGAGTACATTTGAGTACTTGGGGGAGTGAAAGTCTATATTTGGGGCTGAGGCGGAGGTATTTAATGGTGTCTAATGGTCCCTAATTGTCTCTAAAGGTTTCTAATGGCACCCCTGGAAGCTGTGTATGTCCCCGGGTATGTGGTGCTCGAATTTGAAACCACTCCACTAATTAAATAAGAATATGAACAGTGGACTAAACTACCCAATTAATATAAACTACCATGTAATGTCTGTCTGGAGTTAGATACCACTGTGGTTTCTAATATCCCAAGAGGTCTTACAGGAATAAATAGAAAACATATACGAAAATGTTTGAATAGAGAACCAAAAATAGATAACTCAATATAACCATGTCAATTCTACCACGATATCTAGGTTTTTAATCCCCATAATTTTAAAACACCCCTGGCGGTATCTAGACGTCTCCAGGGACGCCCATATCTCACGGTGTAAGTGGCCAAGAAACCAGAAACCACGTACGAAATTACACCAAGTCGAACAGAAAACCCGACCGGCCACATTAATGTAAATTATGGCCGGGTGTCTCTAGTCTGATCTTGATTTTATTGGCCCATGTATTACCCCAGGCAGCGAGTTTGGGGCCTGACAGTGTTGGGGGCCGATTAGGGTAATGTAACCTTGTGTTGACCCAGCTACCGAGGTCAACTGAGGTCATCTGGAGGTTGGAAGTTATGTGTGGAGGGTTGGAGGTTATATGTGGAGGGTTGGAGGTTAGGTGAAGCGATTAGGGAAATGTAACCTTGTGTTGATCCAGCTACCGAGGTCAACAGAGGTCATCTAGAAGTTGGTGGTCACGTATGAAGGGTCAGAGGGCACGTGTTGGGGGTCAAAGGTTATATAAGGAAGGTCAGGGGTCAGATAATGAGTGAAATATCACCTGTGGGGTCAAATATTACCTGAGGAAGTCATGCATCACCTTTACGGGGTCGTGAGTCACCTATCGGAGCCAAAGGTCACCTCCAAGGGTCAAAGATCAAATGAACAGTAGTTAGAGGGCAATTAAGAGTGATTCAGCGAGGAGTTAGAGGCTGGAGGTGACCTGTAACACTGAGTTGGTGATCACCTGCCGGTAATTAACAAAGTTACCTGTGTAGTAAATGCCTAGTCTCTCTCTCTCTCTCTCAGACATAATCCAGAGATAGGAATGGGTCTCTTTAACTCTGCAATCTAGTCATTAAAGAACTGTTATCGTAGTTCACTTCACAATCAAATTAATCTCTCTCTCCCTCTCTTTCTCTTTGTCTATCTATCTATCTATCTATCTATCTATTTATCTATCTATCTACCGTAATTACCCCTCCCAATCAATCCCTACTAATACCACCCCTCATTACATCTTAATTACCTGGCCTTAATGACGTAAACACCTAATTATCCTCCTCACCTCCCCACTCCCCCTCACACCTCCACCTCCATCACCCCCTCACCCCCCCCCTCATCACAGCCAATTAGACGTGTCATGCGTTTTATTACAGGTGAGTTAATTACCTTAAACACCTTGGTATAATTGGCTTGTTAGACCTCACCTGTGTTGAGTGGTTGAGGTGATACAGGTATTGAGATACACACACACACACACACACACACACACACACACACACACACACACACACACACACACACACACACACACACACACAGCCACACAAAAAAATGTAACCGGCTGTTATATGATTGCAGAGAGTTATGTAACACGGTAGTGACGTGACAGGAGACGACAGGACGTGACAGGGAGTGACAGAGAGTGACAGGGACGCTCATGACAGTTCAGATAAAATAATAGATAAGAATAAACACTAGCGATAAGGGATAACAGTTAAGCCAGACGTGTTGTTGTTGTCTTGAGATACGTGATGATACATGAAAGGGATACATAGTGGGCTGACACATATACAGGACACATATATCTCATACATATATTGAACACGTAAAGGCGACACATATATACTTGAAATATAGATCACATATACACTTGACACATTCACCTGATACATTCTTGACACATACACCTGATACATTCCTGACACATACGGTTGATACATACCTGATACACCTGACACATTCCTCATACATACACCTAACACATACCTGACAAACACACCTGACAGATGACACATACACCTGACACTTGAAATTATCGGTACAAAAACAAAACACAACAGTAATAACAACACCAATTCACACAATAACAACAACAGTTATTTCAAAATGAAGACAAAATTATTACATTCATAATTACCTAAGAAAATTATCATGAAAAATAATCTAAAAAATAATAATTAATGTTGACTTGAATAGAAAATAAACATACGTGACTTTTTACACCTGAATAATATTAATTAATACAACACATAATTATTACTGAATTATTGAGAATTATCTACGAAAGGAATGACATAATTATATAATGAATTAAATAGTAATACTGATAATTAGTTAGTACAGGTTGGTATTATGACACAGGTAGCATTATAACACATACAAGTGACACGACACATGACACCTTAACTTAATGACACATACAATAAAAATAATTAATTAGTATATTGTATTTAATTATGGCACAGGTAGAGATTATGACACACAGGTGACACATACAAGTGACACATCAGATGACACATGACTTTATAATGACACATACTGAACAAAAAAAACATCACATTAGATCGCCATTACAATTCAACACACGAAAAAAAATAGAGAGAATTAAATAATTTTTTGTATCATAAAAAATTACTAAATACAACATGACGTTATTGTATATTTTATGTCCAGGTGTTTAATACGATACAGGTACCAATTTTTTTACAGAAATGCGTTACAGGCGTGGGAAGTCAGGTGTGGGGAGTCAGGTGTGGGGAGTCAGGTGTACAGTATGATAGGTGTGAGGAGTCAGGTGTACAGTATGACAGGTGTGAGGAGTCAGGTGGATAGTATACGACAGGTGTGAGGAGTCAGGTAGGTGTACAGTATGACAGGTGTGGGGAGATAGGTGTACAGTATGACAGGTGTGGGGAGTCAGGTGTACAGTGTATGACAGGTGTGTGGAATCAGTTTATATAAGAGAAATATAGATGACTTTTTACGTGACTTATACAGGTATATGGTGTGTATAAAGTAGTACCTCTGTTTAACGGACGATGTGGAGAGAGGAAAATCCGTTAGATATGAAACCTCCAACTAACGGACTATATAGAGACGAAAGTCCGTTATATCGAGGGTCCGTTAGATATGAAACCTCCAACTAACGGACTATATAGAGACGAAAGTCCGTTATATCGAGGGACAGAGAGAAGTCCGTTATATCACGCTTTTTCACTGTAGTGTTAAAAAACATACATTATGTCGATGAAACACTTAATAAAACGATACGATTTTATAAAAGGTAAAAATATTAATTACCTTCAAGAATATATTATATATTTACATTAAAAATATACTGACGGGAACTAGATACAAATATATATACTTTTAGACTTTTTGGGGGGGTGGGGATGTGTGTGTGTGTGTGTGTGTGTGTGTGTGTGTGTGTGTGTTCATATTTTTGCTAGTTAGCATAATTCCCAAAACAAAATTCATTACTTGATGGTTAAAAATAACAGTAGTCCTGTACTTTAAAATGCTGTATCGTGTTATACAAGATTATTATACTGTAGCTGTGTTAGGTAGTATTATACCTGTATTCTGTACTACCTGTGTTTGTCTCTGCACCTGTATTTGTGTTTTTACCTGTAATTTTACCTGTATTTTGTATCTGTACGTATTTCTGTACCTGTACTTTAGATTATGCCAAGGTTAGGTTAGGTTAGGTTAGGTCACAAGTCCGAATCTGTGTTTTGTGGTGGGTAAGTAGGTCAAGCAGGGGGATGGAGGTGGGGAGGGAGAAGGTGGAGGGGTGGGATGAAGGGGGTAAAAAGGGGAAGAGGGGAAAAGGGCCTGAGCACATATTACCACCGTGATCAACCCTCCTCACTACCCTACCCCCACCCTCCCCTAGCCCGTGTCAGTCCAACGTCCAATGTAAAAGTCCCTCGAGAGTTGTTAAAGTTTCCCAGGGGTGTGTTGGGGTTAAGAGGGCCTTCCACCCCCCACCCCCCCCACCCCCCCCCCTGCTGTGTGCTGCTGTGTTGATTGGTCTCTGCTGTGTTGGCAGTGAGTTGCTGTGATATGGGGTAGAGCTGACCTCCAAGTATTCAATGATTAAGTTAGGTTGAGGGTCCATTAGAGGTCTGGGGCCCATTAGACCAAGGGGGCCCCACTTCCCTGTACTCTCCGTGTGTCCGGGCCCACAGGGACATGTTTTATTTACAGAGTGAGTTAAACTTTCATGTCTCTCTCCCCAGTGACAACAATGACGGGAGGAGGTATGGTAGTGGTGTGCCTCAGGGAATGTGGCTGTCCCCTTCTCTCTCTCTTTTTCTCTTTCTTTATACATCTCTCTCTCTCTCTCTCTCTCTCTCTCTCTCTCTCAATGTCTCT